GCTGCCCGCCCGCGGCTCTGTTTTGGGGGATGCGGAGGAAGGGGGAGCAGCTGAGCCCAAGAGCAGGAGGAGGGCAGAGGCGAGATGTTTCTAGTGATGGGGAAAGCAGAGGTTGCAGAGTACCGATAAACTCTCCGTGGTGGAGCAAAGGGAGCTGTGAAGGAGCCTGAACGCACATGTGCTGAGGTGAGGTCACCTCCCGATGCGTAGCCAGGTACCGCTGCTGGGTCAGATCCTGCAGTCCTCACTTGGGCAAAACTCCCAGGTATATTGGGTGGGAGATGTGCCCAGAGAGACTGAAGTGACTCCCTTGCCCAGAGCCTGTTAGGAAGATAAATGGGCTGCCAGCTTAACCCAGTAAAACAGACATCACCCCTGCAGCAGGTAAAAGCCTGGCACTATCAACAATATTAAAGCTCAAGGTGCAAACCTCTGCAAGGGGCTAAGCATCCTCTTTGTCCCTCGGCTTTTCAGTGAGGCTCAGTACCACACCAGACCAGGGCACCAAAACATAGGCAATACATGAGGAATCCCCGTTCATACTAATTTAAACTACAGCACCTGCAGTGCAGGTTCTCCCTCACAGCCCTGGAAATCCAAACACCAGAGGGCTTGGATAGAGAAACCAGAGAGCAAAAGGGACATGCAGAGTGTAGGTGAGTTGCCCAAACTGAGCAAATTACCATGGGTAGGAAACAAACTGCATCAACATCAGTGGAATGGAGAAGAGCTTGATTCCAGCTTCAGCCATGCAAAGTGGTAATGGGAGGCAGGGAACGAAGCGATGTTCATGTTAAATATGTATGTTGACAAGTGTCCCTTTGAATATGGGGGAGGGCAGCACAAATCATTCACTGGGAAACATGTTTTGAAACATGAAATCAAGTAGAAAAACAGCTCAGCCCTGCCCATCCCAGGGCACTGTCTTCTTTCAGCAAGGAAGAACTGAGGATTCAACAGTAAAGACACAATTTGGTCAAAAGACATCTACTGTTCAGTTCTCACCCCTCCAGTGGTTTAAACAACTCAAGTGCAAGCGACCAGAGGAAGGAAGCTACTATGTATTACAAAATTAACCAGCATTTAAACTCCACAGAGACGGGAGAAAGAGCAATGGGGACTAGGACATGGAGAAAACAGGGCAGCAGGACTCTGGCTTGCAAGGAATGATTTTCTGAGTCGTCACTGTAAACTGTAGCAGAGATACTTAAAACCCTACAAAGAGAAAACTGGTTTGCCTAAATCAGGAGGAAAGAGACTGACTTTTCATCTACCCTTAAAGCAGCCAGCATGCTTTACTTGCACAGCAATTGCCCTGTTTTCCCTATCCCCAAAAAGTTTACCTTAAAAAGACAAAAACAAAAAACACCCGCACAAAAAATACACCCCAACACCTCACCAGCAGTGGAAACAGGTCAGTGCCATGGAGCCGCCCTGCAGTAACAACACCAGCCTGCTCTGCCCAGAGCAGGAGCCGCAGAAAGCGAGAGTGCAGACACACGAGGCCAGAACACAGCTCCCTGATGAAACATTTCGGTCTCGGGCTGTCAGGCTCGTAATCATTTCTTAGAGTTATGAAAGGCACCTTCACCCCAGGCCCTTCACAACTGGTTTTAAAGTGCCTGATAAAAGGCCCAGCAGAGGAGAATGAGCCCTTTTACCAGGGACCCACAAGGGGCTCTGGGCTCATGAATTAATTGCAGCTTTATGGGGATGGATGGACAGGCATTGGATCAGCAGAGCGTGGCTGGTTAACAGACCCAGATAACACATAAGATAACAGCGCGGGGAGAACAGGCACTTAAGGAAGTTTTAGTGACAGCTGCTTGACACTGAACCATTCACACTGCAAATGGGGAGTCCCTATTCCTCTAAGCCATCAGAGGAACATTACTATATCCTGGAAGGAGGGGAAGGAAAAGAAAGAGGGGGAAGGAGAATCACTTCAATCCTGCCATGTTTCCTGCCAGTAAGAGGTGCAATGTTAAAAGCTCTCACGTCTCACGACAATCCAGGTACTGACTGGCACAGACTTGCAGCCAGGAGTTAGTCAAAATCCAGTATGGGACTGACGTGCTAGACTTTGAGCAAAATCCTCTCTACCCACCCACTATTTCCCTATTTGGAGAACAGAAATATTTCTGTCCTCCTCCCCTTCTCTCCACAGACTCTATAGGGACTTGGAGATTTACTGCTTTTAGAATGTTTTGTAGTAAAAGCAGGCAGCAGGAGCTGTGCCTGCCTCCAAATCTCTAGGTACTCTTCTCCCCATGCCATCAAATCCCTTTGGACTGACTTACACAGTCAATGTTATCCGACATATTCAGGATGATGTAGTTTTTCCCCGCAAGGTTGCTCCATTCTTTGCAGATCACCTGGAGAGACAAGACAAAGACAGCTGGGTTTGGG